GACATCAAGTTAGAGTGTCTCATTTTTTTCAGTAAAGAAGGAGGTGAGGTCATCTATTGTTTTACCTAGTGAACACTCATTTCTCTCTTCCTCCTCCCTGACAGAACCCAGTATCATCGGGGCAGCAAGGTGTCTAGTTAAAACATCATATTTCTCAGGATCTGGTTTGGCCGGGAGTGGTCACGTGACTTGACATCTATTGTGGAAAAATTCACAGGATGGATGGGAATGTTTCTCAAAGGGAGTAGTCTCATTTGTTCTTTCCTCATTCTCCTCTTTCTTTCCTAGATGGCTTTGATGGTTGGGGCTGTAGCAGCTATTTTGTGATTGATGAGTGACATTGTAGAGCCATCATTAACCCTGGATTGACTGCATCTGCACTCATTTCGCTTGACAGAAAGGACAGCTGTTTTTCTAAGTCATCATTATTTGGGAATTGTGTTTCCCGTAGCCAAATAAGACTCCTAGCTCATTTTGTTGGGAGTTCGTGTGTGCATGTATTTTTGTGTGTGTGTGTGTGTATGCAAATGTATTAGGTGTTTGAATTTTTAAGTTGCTCTAAAGTTGCTTATGAATTGAAAAATCTGAGAACCACCGTAGGAAATCAGTCTGAATATGATTGATTGGAACACCCACACTCTTCTTGGATGGGCATCTATAGAGGGCACCTTCTTTCAGTGCAAGGTGATTCTGTTCCTCCCTGCTCCTTCTTGTCTTGAGCAGCATGTCTCACACAGACTGAGGTTTACATTTCATGTTGTTAACAGTTTTCATTGAAGGAGAAAAATGCTTTCCCAGTCCATTCCAGGTTTAGGATCAGTTCCGCAAACACTGATGAAACGTGAAAGGCACTTAATACATCTCTCTGAAAACATGAAATGTTATATTTTATGTGTTCACCATTGTTCAGATTCAGGGTTTTGAATCCACTTAGAATTTAAAATGTTTGCCTTCCTTCCTTCCTTTTTTTTTCATGTCAAAATGTTTGATTCTTATAAAATGCCAATCTAGAATGCTCTGGCAAAAGGTTAGCAAGGCTTCAACTTTTTTTTTTTTTCTTGCTGTAGGCTAAAACCATCTCCATTCTTATGGAACCCCAAACATGCCTCCTTTCCTATTCCATGTGACCTCTTGGTTCAACCTCAAATCTTGAGATATTTGGGTCAGTTAAGAGAGAATGGTCCTCTCATATCTTCATTATCAAAAAACTGAGTTTCCTTTCAAAATTCAACAATTGATGGAAAAAAAATACCTTGCAGTAGCACCAGCTATTCATCTGTCTTCCAGTTCATTCTGGGAATAATTCCTGGGGCTTATGAGATCGAAAGATAATTCCAGTCAAAGCCATTTATCTAGTTTTGTGGCAGCTGAAAACACAGATGCTTTGGAAACAATCTAATCTTCCATCTCCCAATTATTTTTAATGGCTGGATGAATGGACTAAACAGTTACATTTGAAAATCCACCTTGGCGGTACTATCAGGATCATATACAATGGGCAATAGACAGCGGATTTACTGATTTACAAAACTATTAGTATCTTTGACATTTATTTGAAAGAAAATGACACTTTAGCTCATTTATTATTTCAATAATAGCTTATTCTGAGAGAGAGAGGGGGGGGGGATAGGGGAAGAGCTGAGAGGCAATTTTTTAATGAGGTAATATGGAAAAGGGAACAGCTGAGAGGCAATTTTTTAATGAGGTAATATGGAAAAGAGTATACAGTGCCATGCACAGACCTCCAGAAGAGGTGGAGGAGACCAGGAGGAATAACAATTCATTTGAGACTCTCTCTTTTGGAAACAAATACACTAGATTTCCACAACTCATATGCATTTAATAAAATATGTAAACATCAATTTGATTAGGCTCAGCTTCAGATCAGTTATAAGGCATTAATTAGAAAATATATTTAACATTTGCTCCTCATTCTCTTCTTCTTGCACTGAGTGGGATAAGCAATGTGCTCTTTGCAGTGGGCAGAAGACAACTCCCTTTGGAGAGATCCACGGGACAGCCAGCATTCTCCTGCCACCTCCCAACAAACTCCAAACCCTGGTGCCAAGGCTGAGAAGCAGGTGGCTCCTGGCTTGAAGAGGATGGACGTGAGCTCAGCTCTGAACAGGAGTGTGTGCTGGGGCAGGGGCAGGAGGCTTGAGACCTTCAGGGAGCAGCCCTTAAGGCTGACCCACCCAGGTCTCTGTGGTTCACAGAAAGGAGTTTGCCCTGGTTCTGAAGCCCAGCCAGCAACCCTGGAGAAGCCCATGTAGCCATGGGAAGGGGGATCTGAAAACCCTTCCCTGAGTTACTGTGGACCAGAACAGCTCTCTGGCATTTTGCTGGCTCAGGGTGGGGGTATGCATCATCTCACAGGCTGAACAATCACATGTGGAGTCTGGGATGAGCATTTTTCAAGAGAGAGCTGCACAAAGGCTGGGCTGACTACTGCAGGCAGAGTGACAGGTCAGCATGCCCTCTCAGCTGCAGGCTGACTGCCATCCTCACCTCCATCCAGTCTAGAGGCCAGGGTGCTCATGCTGAATTCAGCCTTTGAGTGTCTGGGAGTTCTGTTGTCCCCAGAGCATTCCCGGGAGAATGAAAGCAGATGAAATTTTAAACAACAGAATGAGTATGTGTGTGTGTGTGTGTGTGTGTGTGTGTGTGTGTGTGTG